CAGGAGACATCGATCCATTGGGGGCCGGCCTGGGATGAGTTTGCGACCAGCTTGGCCAAATGGGCCACTTGACACCATTGTACTCTAGCAGGCTCAGTGATTTACGCACCGCTTTGTCTCATGACCAGGGCCGTAGAGGCTTTGACTGCTTTGCCCTGCATTGCACTGTGACTGCCCCTAGACCTTCCAAAAGCCAGGCCATGATTGCACAGAGGGCCTGCCTGCTGCTTGCCGCTTGCCTGCATTGCTGGAGCATACAGTATCTGCAGGATGCCAACGATGAAATGTCGGGAAGCTTACTTATGCGGGCCTTTTAGCGTTCCGGAAACAATTGCATGAACTGGGCCTTCTCATAGCTAGCAGCCGCATCCTCTTGGCGTCTTGTTTCCCTGACTCTGAAGTCCCGACCTGATGCTCTCAGCCGAGTGGCACTCATCGGCTGCAGGGATCGGGCATTTGAGCTGTTCCGCAATATCTCCTAACTGTAGTTCAGTTCTGAAGGGGTCCTCGGTTTGATCGAAAAACATGTTGGAGGGGTCGAGGGCCTTCTCCCACCAACAGTCCGTCAATTGCTAGCATCTGCTAGAAGATGCTTCACACACCCGGTCTTGGTTACTGGAAAGGGGAGGTTGCAAACAAATCCTTGCGAGGTCCTTGTAGGCTGGACAGGAAAGCCAAAACGATGCGCTTGCACATGCCCTGTGTCTAGGAGCCACTTCGAGTGATGATATTTCCGTTTCGCGCTGAAGCCGCGAATTTACTGCTACAAGCTTTTGCAGACGGCGGTGTACTCTCAAAGACTCCAAGCCTCCAAGCACGAATCCACATATTTCGAGAAGACATACAGCATGTCAAAAAAGTGCAGTGACAGGAGTTGCTCAATAACCCTTCAAGTTTGCCTTGAGGCAACCCAAATTCAGTTTAGATTTCACCGATAAGCATGGCATGGTTTGCAAATACATGCAAATTACCTACTATCCAGCACCGACTGAAGACTACTGACCAATATTCAGAGAGCAATTCCGATACAAGTGTGATTGCTTCTGTTACAGCTCATATCCAGCCCACGTTTAATCGGCGAAGCTGTTATGTCAGCCCTTGCACGAAGCGTCACGAGCGGCAGGGTTTGGCGCCAACACGTGACACTGCGCGTCGGGCCGCGCCAAGATGTGACACGAGATTGGGTTAAGGAATTTGGGTGTATAGGGATCTATAGGTTTTAGGGTTGTTTGGGGGAGCGTTAGGCAACTCGTGCGCCACTACTGCATGCCACGGCTTGGCTGGCACCGACAGCTTCGCTCGCACCTCCTCGCACCTTTGTCGAGTTTCGCAGCATCACAGCCTCTGTCGAGTGGGTTGGTAGGTTGCCTTAGGTTGCCCTCTAGGGCAAACCCTGTAATCTCAGATTAAACATGGCTCAGTTGGCAAATTTCAATTTGGACAGTATTCGGATCGAGCTCATAAACATACCTTCGTTCTTCAACAAATGCTGGAATAATTGATCCCTGCGGTAAAGCAACTGCGAGAGAGAATCATGCATGCTGTGGCAGCTAAGTACTAAGGCGATTGTAAATGGTGATTACCGCTCATTTCATTGAGAAGGAGTTAAGTGTGTGTATATATACATATGTATGTAACGCTAACTTCAAGTGATGCCTATTTACCCTCACCGTATGATGTGAATTGTACCAACGAAACACTGACTTAAACTAAGTGCTCACTGTTCGCTGGTTCAAAAACTGCTTTGCTACTTTCGCGTTTACGTGATCAAACCTTAATAACAGGGGAGCTTCTTGCGCCCCTCGATTCTTGAACTAGGTAACTGTGCCTTCTGATTGCAACGAATTAAGGATGCAGGTTTGTCGGAGCCATGTGATTCCGCATGTCTTTTTGCTTGCCGATTCTGTAGTTTCGCAAGAGCACAGTGTTTGAGAATCAGCCGCGAGGAAATTTCACAGAGAACAGTCACGTACGTCCGGCTGTCTTTTAAGGCCTTCTTCATAGGATGAAGACAAAGGGAACCGTACATTTCCGGATCCCCTGGACCCTAAATCAGGAAAGTGAGAGTCGAAATCAGGGAAAGTGGCTGATGTTGGTTCAGAACAAACAACAATGCTCAACTACCGGTCAGTTATTCTAACTAATTAATGAACAAATCTGTAACGTTAGGTAAAACCTGCAGTAGAAGGGAATGACGTCCCGGTGAATTTTTGCTAATATGCTAGACTTGGAACAAAAAGAGGCTGATGGAACACAAGGTGCATTTGGAGTGTGGTTTACGTCCGTTTTGGTATCAAGATGCTAAAGGAGGAGGATGTCGGAGCCCGTGCTCGCAAGTTCATATGTACACTTTTCGTAAACTGTCGAGGTGCCGATGACATCTACACCAAGAGTGACTGGGCCTTCTCGATGTATTTCGAGCTCAAGAAGGCGGCCTCCGTCGAGCATAATGATTGGGTTTCGACCCCTAAAACAACTTATGACGACCTGAAAACCCCGGTGCAGCAAGTTTGTGCCGTGCGTGCTGAACTCCTCACCAGGGCGAGGCAGATGCGGCGTCCATTTGCGACTTCGATGGCGCTGGCGTCGTGACGGCACTTCCAGCTTCTCGGATGCGCACGTGAACGGAACTTTTCGCTCCACAGCACCGCAAGGCATGCTGACTCATTTTACCGGTGAGCTTCGTGTGATGTTTCTGCATACATGACGACTTGCAGGGCCGACTAGACTGCATGGCGGTGAAGATTTTAGCGAGCACAACATCGGCGGCCCCCGCACCGAGCACAACCGCCGACCCAGGCCAATTTTTGTTCGGCAGCGCAATTGCACGAAGGGACACAATCACTTCTTGTTTGACGGTGCCCCGAAGGAAAGCCAAAGGGCGAGTCTATACTGGCAGACAAGCTTTGGTGGCTTGCGGCAGCTAATGTAGTTTTCATGTTTGAGAGATGAGGGCTGCGACAATACAGGAATGCCCGCAGCATGCCTGGCAGATGCCGCCATGACACACTAGCCCAATCCCTTGTTTTCGATGAGAGGTGTATCCACAATTATACTTCAGCCTCGCAACCGTGTAATTAGTTCCCTTGTCGCAAGGTGGTTTGTCGCAGCAGCGGCACTAATCCTGGGGATCATCCTCTTTGTTCGCTCGCGGGCCTTGGGCTTGGCAGCAGATCATGAGCGCGATGGCTCGTTCAGGATCCAGTGATCTGCTTCCATTACTAAGACCGGCCAGCCGAACGACTCGCGAAGCTCGCGAACCGTGGAGAGAGCCAGGGCCTCTTCGTCTTGTCAACTTTATCCTGTTAAGCTCAGAATAGGCATGGTCAGACAGGCATACGCCCAGCTTCCATGCAACCCTAAGCCTCTCCTGTCGTCCCGCTTCCAGACTCCAGGCCTCAGGAATGTTGTTGTGAGATGTCAGGGCTTGGACCGAAAACCTGTACCGTACTAGGCTGGAAAGGTGCCCTTTGAAGCCTATTTGCTGTCCTGATCTCCGCCAGGACCCCCAGCAGGAGTTCGAGATGGTGACTTCAATGGCAAGGGCTTGAATCGTTTCTTTCGTTTTACAAGTGCAGCAGTAGCTGCTTTCAGGATATCAGCACTCGCTGTTGTTTGCATGTAACCGTTTTGACATGGGCTGCAGATGAGTAAAATAGAGCATAGAGATCATAGAGATGTGCAGGTCTGATCACCTCGACCCGACTGCCAACTGCAACACATTCCATTGAAAAGAAGAATCTAGTGTCCTTTTTGACCCGCAAACTTTCGCCATGATCGGGTTGTGGCATTCGGTGACTTGCCTGTTCCATCTCTCATACAGCAGCTCTTGCGGTTCTCCGAAGGGGTCGCTGGATCCCACACTGCCGTGTGCTGCTGCAGCTGCTGGCTCAGGGTATTACTCATAGGTATTGATGCAAGACCACCAGAAGCACCAGCACCCGCCCCACATGATGGACATTTCCCCTCGACCTGCCAACGTGTGCTTGATGCGCATGTTAGGGGAATGCAAGCTTGTGGGCATCGGGTTATCGCGGTCGTGAAATGGAGACGGTCCCTCAACATCTGAGTATACGCTGGATAGCCCATATAGAGGTGCTTCGAGCAATGACGCGGCTACTGCCTAATGCTCTTGCTGATGAGGCGGGCCGTTCAGACGATGTTATTTCCTGTGCTCGTCTCGAGCAGCTGCATGCGGCGGTTTTCGGTCTCAGCCATGCGAACCGGAGTCAAGGCCTACGCGAGGTCAGCTCAGTAGAGCAGCTATGCACAGCGACCTGACTCAGCACACTGGAAGCTTGTCACTAGACCATGAAGGCTAACGATCTGAATAAGTTATGGCGACATGATAACGAAGCAATGAGCCCGGCCTTGAAAGACAGAAGGCGGCATCCTCCAGACTACCCCAGCTAAACCTTCAAGAGACAGCTTCATGCGTCGCTTTGCAGTCCAAGCGCAGCCATGGACGGCAAGGAAAATCCTCTAGTGCCGTCCGGAGAAAGCGCGGGAGGCTCCACTGCTTCGGGGCCTTCCCCTTGCTGTCCTGGGGCCTGTGGAGGCTGTCCGGGCTGTTCAGGTTGTGGCGGGTGTTCCTGTCCGTGTGGCGGCTGCGGTCCTTGTGGCTGCCCTTGTGGCTGCGGAGGCTGCTGTCCCTGCGGTCCGTGTGGTCCTTGCGGCTGTGGCTGTCCGCGCCCGGGTGGACCAGCTTGCCCACCAGGCTGTGGAGCGTGTCCGAGCTGCCCAGCATGTCCGGGCGCCTGTCCTTGCCCTGGCGGATGCCCAACTGGCTGCCCCGGCTGCTGTCCGGGTGGATGCGGAGCCTGCCCTGGGGGCTGTCCGGGCTGCCCTGGAATGATGGGCCCAATGGCTGGTAACAACCCCATGATGGCCATGATGATGAGCCTCCGATGCCTTTGCTGTTGGGTCCTTCGAGATTAAGAGTTGCGACTGTCATTGTCGCGGCTTGAGCCCGCCAACAGACATTTCGATTCAAATCCAAGGATGATGAACATGCAGCAGATGATGGCCAAGGCTGGAGGGGCCGCGCCCCAGCAGGGCATGAACCCGATGGCCGCCATGATGGGAGCCTTGTCTTGCACTAATTATTCTGCCATCACATGTTGGCCGTCCCTGTAAAAACTTCGCCCATCAGTTTGTTGCATGTGTGTATCACGTGCTGAAGGAGGCACGAGACTGTTCAAGAGGATGCGGTAAAGCGATAATGTCAATGTCGGACAATACTTCATGATCAGGCCCAGCTTGTTGTTTGCTAGCTAGCTAGCTAGCTCTAGGGTATTCCGGATCAAAGACTGCTGTCGGTAGACCTGCAGAACTTGTGAGCCCTGGTGGACTCAGTGGACTGCTTCCAGAGTCGAGGAGTTGGTGGCAATGGCGCCGGCTCTGGCCCACGACTCCCAGCAGACAAGGACATCGGTGGCAACGATTCGAGCGAGGAACATACGTCCATTCAGTGGTGGCATGCCGGTGAGCTGGTTAGAACCACGCTGCAGTATGCAAGTTCAACTCAATCCTCAACCCTACAGAGACAGCGTAGCCGCATGGATGCAGGAGAAGCCGACGCTTCCACAAGACGACGATGAGACCATCGACCCGGACATACGCGAACTCGGGGTGTCTAATCTGCAGAGTGCTTCAAGTTGCATGCTTCACACAAGTTTCCTTCACCGCTAAGGATTATTTCAACATAGAGGAGCGATGGGTTGTTCGCTTGAACGAGGCTGGGTGGCTCAGGCTACTGCCAAGTGGCTGGAGATTGCATGTGCTTTCTCCTTGCAGCATGTGATCGGCCTTTTGCAAAGGTGGCTGCAACGAAGGGTGTCTGCTTCCTCAGTCAGAGAAGGTTGTTCGTTTTCGCCCACAGGCGATGAAGAAACGGCAAGACTCGAAGGCTGTAGACATCGAGAAGCTTTATGAGGTCTTAGCCACTCATTGCATTAGCGTGGTTGACACTATGCATGCGATCTTATGCTTCAGCCTGCACACAGCTATTGCAACCCAGGAGAAGGCTCGGAGCCCGACGGGATTACTTACCGTGCAAATCGGAAAGATGGAGTGCGGGCAGTTCGTTGGGAAGATCAAGCCGGACAAGGACGTGGAGCGGATGGCCAGAAGCTTGTCAGACACGCTGTCCCTCTAAAAGGGGGGCGTTGATTCATAGAGGGACCCACATCTAAAAATACCATGGCACGAGCACGGGCAGCTGCAGGATTTTGAGTCGGTGTTCGTCCTTTTCAAGCTGCGACGGGATATGCTAGCTGCTAGCGCAAGCTGATGCAAGCATCTGACAGGAGGTGAAGTGAACTGAGCATCGTCGAAACCCGCTAGATATACCATTTCGCCGTAACGTGGATCTCGGGTCTCGAAGCCCTCACAAACCTCGAGGCTTAGAAGGGAGTGGTGGCAGTGGGACGAGAAACGTCAAACCTCAGTCTGGAGGGGATGAGAAACGCCGGCCTTGAGCCACAGATTCGCGACGGTCCTGGGAATGTGTGCCCAGGAAAGTTCAAGCTCGACGATCCCGTGACCTCCAGGCTTACTGAGCTCAAGGCTTCCAATTGATGTGTGGAACCGCCTCCTTGCGCGGACTACCAGCTTACACATGTCGATGCTGCGCCCCATTCAGAACAGCACGTCATCTAGCTGCTGAGGCAGCCCGAGACTGCAGAGGATTCTCAGCTGCCCTGCTGTTTGCCGCAGGTTTGGCGGAAGCGAAATGGCGAGGAAGACAGGGCCACAAAGGACTTGCCTGCCTTTGTCGCAATCGCTTATTTGCTCCACGGTTAAAGGGTCTAGTTGTGTAGCTTTTCTCGGCATCCAGACGAGAAGCTTCGTGCATGATTCTTTCTGGAAGGATTTGGAGCGGATAGAACACCACCTGCGCTTCGCAAAGAGGCCCAATGCTCTCTGTACTCTTCTGGCTGCTTGATCAACACTGAGACGGTACTTGCATCATCCTTGTGGCCCACGCCATTACAACCGGCGTCTCTGGGGATGCATCCGAGGTGGGCAAGCTGATTGAATGTGAGATGGATGAGTTGCCAGACCTCGTGAAAGCAGAGAAGATTATGACGGATTACAAACTTGACGAGGATGGGCTATGATGCAGAAATGTGCTGCGGCAGTATCTCATAAGATACTATAAGTCTTGAGCCCTAATCAATGCGCAATATCGTTAAGGACATGCAGAGAATTGTTTGCCTTGTTTGACTTCAGCGTGCCTCCATTATGGGTACGATGCTGGGGTGTAGATGATCAATTATAAATGAATCCACCCGGCATGGCTTGCAAGTGAGTCAGCCGCATCTAAGAAGGCTTCACGGTTGGAACTGGCCAGGATGCTTGTTCGAAGATGCGGGAGATCATGGAGAAGCGCCGATGGCTCAGCAGTTAGTAGCAGTCAAGGCAGGACGTGCCGCAACTGTAAGGAGGCCCAATCCCCAAGATGTGCAGTGTTTATTCTCCGCTACAGCAGTGCAGCGCAACACTATAGGAATATAGTATAATGTAGTGCTTATGCGCGCTGCGTGCACACACAAAAACGCTGCTTCAAGGACCCCTCACTTGACGCAAGTGTCTTGTCCAGGCTACGAAGACGAAGATCGTGTGATTGCCAGTGTCCGGAAGCACCTGAATTCCGCCAGCAATGCTTCCTCCATGTCTCTCGGATTTGCAAGCTTCTGGCATCTTGTGGGTATGTCTGTTGGTATCAGTTGGTATCACATAGAGCTTTGGCTGCACCAGCTGCCTTTCTTGTACGACTGCCGGCTGTCCGTCAAAGCTGTCCTAAATTTACTGATCGAGCTGATCAGCGATCAGTGCGTTTGTTGGATTTGTGCCATTTGTGCCTTCAACTTAGCAACTTCGCCTTCATTGCTCGAGCCCTTCGATCCAGGTTGTGCAAAATTGCCCGGCAGCTCATCGATGGACAAGACCTGCCGGATCCGCCTGAGCGACCACCGAAAGGCAAAGGAGGAGGAAAGGACGGTGGCAAGGAAGATGGCGAGCGTTCAGAGCGCGGCTGGGCGGAAGTAAGACCCGATTAGGCAGCATTGTCTTTAAGCGTGTGTGGCTGTTGCAGAGGCCGACGTGATGGCGCTGATCGGCATCACGACCGAGACCGCGACTGTACTGCAAGGATAAACTTCCAAGCATGTTGGCACCTGCTTTGGATATCCGTGCTGATGCGTATACTGCCTCTCAAAATTCTTCTACTTGAGAAGGGGTGCTAGAATTTGCCTGCACAGATCCTGGTTTGTCTCAACACCGACCGGCAGACACCGTAGATTTGCAGTTTGCAGGTGGTACTGGGAACGTCTGTGGGCAGTGTTTGTAGGTTGATTTCAGTCCAATAGATTCCGCGGGCATTCTGCAGAAGGTTTCCTTTGCTGCCACTTCGCACAACGTTGCGGTCGAGCCCGGGCAACGTAAAACCTCACTCGACCGGGTCATACCGTGTCTCTGTCCGACAGCCTGCACAGTGATGGGGGGAGAGATGAGGCCACAGAGACCGCAGCCGCAGCCGAGACCGCCGGGAGCGCCGCGACAGCCGCGGCCGCTGACGTCAAGCATCGGCCTCCGGCTGAGCAGAAGCCAGCGCTGGCAAAAGCATCCGTTGCTGGTGCCAGGCTTAAGAACGGTTGCCGTCAAGTTGTCAGAAGTAGCCTGCTATTTTTGTCAAGCGGTCCTTCACCCAAGTTCATTGCGTGCAGTTCATGCTTCCGCCATGTCGCGAGAGCTCAGAGCTGCGGCTGCAGGATGGTGACCCAATGCTAAGATGCGAAGCTCGCAGAAGCGGCCCTACCCTCGTACTTGAAGCCAACGATAAACCAGTCTTCGGCGCTGAACAAACAGTCAAGTGTCTGGCTGGCTGTACCACAGAAGCAGCTTTCCAAGATTAGCATTTTTGCGCTAGGCCTGCAAGGAGCGCAGCCATGGACGGCAAGGAAAATGCTCTAGTGCCGTCAGGAGAAAGCGCGGGAGGCTCCACTGCTTCGGGGCCTTCCCCTTGCTGTCCTGGGGCCTGTGGAGGCTGTCCGGGCTGTCCAGGTTGTGGCGGGTGTCCCTGTCCGTGTGGCGGCTGCGGTCCTTGTGGCCCTTGTGGCTGTGGAGGCTGCTGTCCCTGCGGTCCGTGTGGTCCTTGCGGCTGTGGCTGTCCGCGCCCGGGTGGACCAGCTTGCCCACCAGGCTGTGGAGCGTGTCCGAGCTGCCCAGCATGTCCGGGCGCCTGTCCTTGCCCTGGCGGATGCCCAACTGGCTGCCCCGGCTGCTGTCCGGGTGGATGTGGAGCCTGTTCTGGGGGCTGTCCGGGCTGCCCTGGAATGATGGGCCCCATGGCTGGTCAAAACCCCATGATGGCCATGATGATGAGCCTCCGATGCCTTTGCTGTTGGGTCCTTCGAGATTGAGAATTGCGGCTGTCATTGTCGGGGCTTGAGCCCGCCAACAGCAATTTCGATTCACATCCAAGGATGATGAACATGCAGCAGATGATGGCCAAGGCTGGAGGCGCCCCTCCCGAGCAAGGCATGAATCCCATGGCTGCCATGATGGGAGCCTTGATCAGCTTTAGCAACCATTCATCGACTGGAAGTGATGCTCTTAATAATGTTTCAATTTCTCTCCGACAGTTCGACGTGGCTGTCGAGCTTGCTGTGCATGGGATTTGATTCTTGCAGCGAAGGCATGGCAAACATGGGTGGGGGCGGGCCTGTCCCGCAAGCTGCAGAAAAGGAGAACGGAATTCTCGCAGTGTTAGCGATGAGTGGAATAGCGTGCCTGCATTTGCCATGGCTGCCGTGATCTGTGTTGTGCTGGTGCCTGGTTTGAAGAGCAAGTCACGCAAAGATGATGTTTATAGATAGATAGATAGATAGTTACATGTTAGCTAGATTCAGATAGCTAGCATGCATGGGATGCCCGGTTTGAGCAGCCACCACATTGCAGGACAAGCCCGTAATAAAGGAGGACGATGACGAGACGATAGACCCCGATCTCCGCGAGCTTGGGGTGGCTTTGCACGAAGAAATGAAGAACACTCCAGGGTTTTAAGGTGTTGCAAGTGCTCCCGAACGGGGAGTTTCAGCATATACACTCTCGAATTAGTGTTGGGACATTCTAAGTAATTAGACAAAGACCTGGCAAGAACGGAAGAAGGCACCAGCATGACTTCCGCGATTTTTTTTGCGTGGGGCGTTGACTCCAGTTGCGGGCTTGTGGCTGCCTAACTTTCATCAAGTGGCAGATAAGGATTATTTCAACATTGAGGAGCGCTGGGTGGTTCGCTTGAACGAGGCGGGATGAGGCGACACGACCCGCAGCTCCTGCGTCATTGTCTTGAATTGTCCAGGCCATGAAGAAGCGACAGGACACCAAAGCTCAGGACATCGAGAAGCTATATGAGGTCTTAGAACCCGTGGTTGCAGTATTGTCCAGCACACTGGTCCATACAGAGCATTAAGTTTGGACATGAAGTCTCGAACGAAGGTGCAGCGATTCCGTGCGTGTCTGCATGTTGTTGCCAAGGAGAAGGCTCGGAGTCCGACGGGACTCCTTACCGTGCAAATCGGGAAGATGGAGTGCGGGCAGTTCGTTGGCAAGATCAAGCCGGACAAGGACGTGGAGCGGATGGCGAGAACCCTGGCATCAACGGTGGTTCCTTAGGGAGAGCCAGGGAACGTGAAGTGCAAGGCCCAGGTTTCTATCACAGCTGGACACTTCCTCATTTTGCTGCACTCGATCAAACACATTTTCACTGGCATCCTCATGGACACATGATGTCTGGTTCGTGGTTATCCAGTGTCGCCGAAGAGTACAGTCTTCTCTTTGTGGCTGTAAGGAAAATTCAAGCTTGACGATCATGTCACTTCAAGAGTGACGGAGCTGAAGGCATGGATCTCAGGGAAGGTGGTTCTGGAAAGTTTCCGAAAGCATGTATTGTTTGGCCATGAGTCGCCTGCCACATTGCAGCTTTCATCGAGGCTTCTTATTCTAACCTGGAAGGTGTGGCGGAAACGCACCGGCGAAGAAGATCGTGCTGCGAAGGACTTCCACTTAGCTGCCGTCATCAGCTCCTGCTGCTTAAGGTTATCTGCTTTTTCTGTGAACTTTCTGCAGGACTTGGAGCGTATAGAGTATCACTTGCGCTTCGCCAAGAGGCCCAACGCACTGTGCACACTCCTAGTGGCCTGGCACAATGTTGGCACAGTGGCTCTGGTTTTGCCTTCGTTCCCGGCAGTGTCTGCTGAGCGGTGAGCTAAGGTTGGGCGGCTGTTGGAGGGTGAGATAGACGAGCTGCCAGACCTAACCAACGCCGAAAAGATCATGACAGATTTCAAGCTGGATGAGGATTATGTGCCAGAGCTTCAGGGGCATGCTTTGTGACGTGCGGTAGCGATGTCAAGCCTGTCCACAATCCGAAACCAATTTGTGCAGTGTTGCTTTCCTGGGGATGTGATTGTTTTGCTTCAGAAGCCCGGGTAGCTTCTGCAGGATGCTTGTTCAAAGCTGCGGGAGATCATCGAGAAGCGCTGCTCGATGTTACAACAACTCGGAGGGATGCTGTGCAGCTGAGGGTGGGTGGGGTTGTGTTGTGGAAGGTGCTCCGACTTTCAATTAGGTTTGCGGCTTTGGTCGAATTTGCTTCACAGATCACGTCTGCCAGCCCGCATGATCGCTACCATCGCCATACCATGTCCTATAGCCTGTAGACATCTATATGACAGTCCCTGATATATCCCCACATGCAACCGGTTTTGCACGAGTAGCCTCCTGCAGAGGTTCTGCGGACGAAGAGCGCGTGCTTACCTCTGTTCGGAAGCACTTGAAATCGGCGAGCAACGCTTCATCAATGCCCCTGGGCACAAATGTCGGAAGAGAAACGCGAGCAATACAAACTAGAGTCCGCGGGTGAGTTTGCGGTTTGACCGACATACGTCGCAACTGCTAGATTTCATTTCACTCCAAGCACGCAACGAGAATGTATTGCATTGGGGCGGACAGACCCTTGTTTGACATCTTGTCTTTTGATCTGAGGTTGTGCAAAATTGCCCGGCAGCTCATCGATGGACAAGACCTGCCGGATCCGCCTGAGCGACCGCCGAAAGGCAAAGGAGGAGGAAAGGACGGAGGCAAGGAGGATGGCGAGCGTTCAGAGCGCCGCTTGGGCTGCAAATCCCACGGCAAGAAATTCGGCAACGTATGGCAACGTGACATTGGTAGGTGGCCATACTGTTTTTTTCACCTGTCTGCAGTCTATGCAGGCCGAGACCGTGATGGCGGTGATCGGCATCACGACCGGGACCGTCACTGTGCAGCAAGCACCGGTAAGCCATACAGGAACTGCAGCAAATCCGGATGTTAACGATCCCACCAGTTTGTCAGTCTGCTGGTAGTGCGGCAGCGTGTCATGTCGGAGGAAGTCCCTCGGGTTCTAGGGACCAGGGATTCCTATGCAGCAGACATGGCTGTCATACATCTAGTCCACCGCCCTTGGCCCGGCTGCCAGAATCATGAGCATTGAGGCTGATGCACGTTAGTCAGTTTGCAGCTCCTTTGGCCGTGCCACAAGACCAGAGCAAATTGGCTATCTCTGACTAGATGTGAGCCGTTGGTTCGGCTTGGAGTCTAACCGCCTGCCTGAAATCTGGTTCAAGCTCCAACGCATGCAAGGGGCACAGTAAGTACTGTATGTTAGGAGCATATAAGACGGGAAAAGTGCCGCGTGCACACCGACAACGAAATGTTCCAATCGTCTTCGAATGACTTGCATTTTCTCAATGACGGAGGTCACAAGCGGGACCGCAGCCGCAGCCGCGATCGGCGGGAGCGCCGAGACAGTCGTGGCCGGTAACTATGTACAGGCGATGCCACAACAAGGAGGTGAGAGGGGCGATGGGCGGTCCCCGGCAAAAGATGAATCCGAGATGTTTGGCGATGGCGTGCTTATTGATCGATTACGACGGCTGTGCACATCAGTCGTAGCAATAAGTTGAGCCGAGTCAGCTTCCGTTGATTCCAAGATGCTCGTAACGCAGTCTTCAGCCATATCATGTTCAATGGTGATGGGTGATAACAGCATGGGTGAGCATGTTGATGTAGGGTGTAGGTGACAGATCTGGAACCTGCACTTAATCAGGCATCATCCTGGAATGAGACATTGGACGATGTAGTGGAAGTAGAGTGCAGGCACCGGCACCGAATCTTGCCAGACGGCAGACTTGGACATTTCCAAGCGAGAGTTGTCCTGCAGATTATAGCTAGGCCTGCAGCCATGGACGGCAAGGATAACACTCAGGTGGTTCCAAGTGGAGGAGGTGGAACTGACTCCGCTTCGGGGCCTTCCCCTTGCTGTCCTGGGGCCTGTGGAGGCTGTCCGGGCTGTCCAGGTTGTGGCGGGTGTCCCTGTCCGTGTGGCGGCTGCGGTCCTTGTGGCCCTTGTGGCTGCGGAGGCTGCTGTCCCTGCGGTCCGTGTGGTCCTTGCGGCTGTGGCTGTCCGCGCCCGGGTGGACCAGCTTGCCCACCAGGCTGTGGAGCGTGTCCGAGCTGCCCAGCATGTCCGGGCGCCTGTCCTTGCCCTGGCGGGTGCCCAACTGGCTGCCCTGGCTGCTGTCCGGGTGGATGTGGAGCCTGTCCTGGGGGCTGTCCGGGCTGCCCTGGAATGATGGGCCCCATGGCTGGTCAAAACCCCATGATGGCCATGATGATGAGCCTCCGATGCCTTTGCTGTTGGGTCCTTCGAGATTGAGAGTTGCGGCTGTCATTGTTGGGGCTTGAGCCCGCCAACAGCAATTTCGATTCAAATCCAAGGATGATGAACATGCAGCAGATGATGGCCAAGGCTGGAGGGGCCGCGCCTCAGCAGGGCATGAACCCGATGGCCGCCATGATGGGAGCCTTGCTTCGCAAATAGCAAATTGATTATGAGTGCAGCTTCATGTCCTCATTTCAATTGTTTTTCGATGCAGCTCCCCAGCACACGAAATCTGCTTCCCTGTGCCATGCAACTCCGGAGTGCTCTTCGCCACGTGCTCAAGGCATGGCAAACATGGGTGGAGGCGGGCCTGCACCACCAGCCGCGGAGAAGGACCAGACGGAGCTTTGGGGGTTTGCTTTTCGCAGTCAGCTTGTGATGGGTGTTGGACAGGCTCCTTGATGGTACCCAACAGGCATTCGCAGCAGCTCGCGCAGCACATGCTGCCAGCTGGAAAGGGCACTTGATCGTCGCAGGACAAGCCGTCAATAACTCATGACGACGACGATGCTATTGACCCTGACCTTCGTGAGCTTGGGGCCCTTCTACTGCACGAAGAAAGAGCACTGCAGGGTTGAGGAGTTCAGCATTCACCTTTCGCAGACTGTCGATCCCAAGCGGAAAGACTTGATAGGAAGCGAACCACGGGATGAGCAAGCATGATGTAAGACTTAAGAATCTACATTCCATGGACCGTCTGTCAAGTTGCATGGAATCATTTCCTTGGACATGCATCTGTTCTCGCGGTGGCACAACTTGTTGCTGCCAAGCTATGTTTGCATGCATCAAGTGGCAGATAAGGATTATTTCAACATTGAGGAGCGCTGGGTGGTTCGCTTGAACGAGGCGGGATGAGGCGACACGACCCGCAGCTCCTGCGTCATTGTCTTGAATTGTCCAGGCCATGAAGAAGCGACAGGACACCAAAGCTCAGGACATCGAGAAGCTATATGAGGTCTTAGAACCCGTGGTTGCAGTATTGTCCAGCACACTGGTCCATACAGAGCATTAAGTTTGGACATGAAGTCTCGAACGAAGGTGCAGCGATTCCGTGCGTGTCTGCATGTTGTTGCCAAGGAGAAGGCTCGGAGTCCGACGGGACTCCTTACCGTGCAAATCGGGAAGATGGAGTGCGGGCAGTTCGTTGGCAAGGTCAAGCCGGACAAGGACGTGGAGCGGATTGCAAGAACCATGACTGCATTGGTCCAGTACCACTCGCCCTGGCACTGCTGCACATTTGTTTGTGCGGGGCAAGTCTTCGGAATCACGCTCTCAGCATGAAGATCTCGAGACAAATTTCAATTTTGTCTTCTGCAGGAGTCCCAAAGCCGCACCCGATAGATTTGTATGGTTGCCTCACTGGTGCGCCATAAACCCTGCGTTGTGCCAGGAAAGTTCAAGCTTGATGACCACGTGAGTTCAAAGATCACGGAACTGAAGGCGAGGGGGACCCAAAGTAGCTCTTGACATGTTTCGGAAACTTCATGATGCACTCAAGACGCTGCAAGATCAACAAACTTCGGAGCCTTGCGGACTGTTTGGCGAGAGGCGGTCATGGTCCTCCGTTAGAAATTCAGGAGGGTTTTGGTAAAAAAAACCCGTTGTAAAGGTTTAGCAGCTGGTGGCCCAATTTATTAGATTCACTGTTCACTGTAAAACGATAAGGAATAACTATTCTTGACGATGAGGTTTCTGTGTCAACATATTTGAGTATGACAGGGATGTAATGCAAACGACTCCAAAACCCAAGTGAAAATAGCAGACGTTCCAAACGCTCTAAGTCTTCAAGATTCAAGAGACCTGCCGCATTAGTATTGAGTCATATTGAGTACTTGGGCCTGCAGTCTTCTTGGTCCCTGGCAGTGGAAAACTGTGCTTCCAACTTCCAAGTGTGGCAAGAGTATATCCGGACCCCAACATCGGTTCGCATTAGCGAGTTTTAAACGATAGCCCGAACGAGAAGGTTTGGCATAGATTCTGTGTTCGATGAACACTTGATCATCTTTGTATAAAGCCAGTACTAAACGCAACATCAATGGATGCGCGCAGAGCGTCGCACTGCTCAAGGCCTTCTTTAAAGTCCTTCCCTTGGATTGCTGCTAGTCCCTAGCCCTTTTACTTGGACTGTCTACTAGCAGAATCTCTTGTCCTGCTAGTACCACGGCTCGGGTCCCCGTCCTCAGTTAGACCCCGAAAGGCTTTGTCAAGGACGGAGGCAATCATTCAATGTAGAAGTAGAGATAAACATAGTGGGAACTTGTAAGACGATAAGAATAAAATAAAACCATAATGTTTCAGTAAGGGATAGGAATCCGTGACTGGGTTTGTTGCCAAACCCGACAGGCGGTTAAAGTGACAGTTATCCATGATACCGCAGCTCGGGCGTCCTCCCATCTTGTCGTGTGCAGAAACTGCACATGGCTCATGCGCCTGGAGCATGCTAAGACGGCTTTCGTGGGTCCTTGAATCCTTGAAGGTTTGGCGCAAGCGCAACGGCGAAGAAGAGCGAGCGATGAAGGAGAGGGCTTGACTGTGCCAAGTCTGTCCGTCACCACTGCTGTGGTTTATCTTTAGAGTCTTAGTCTTAGACGTTCATAGATGGGATTGGCGTCTCATGCCCAATTTCTATTGAAGCCTTTGACATGCTCGACGACTATCGTGCTAGAGGCATGGGTCATGCCTTGCTGCACTGTGAACCTATGCTCACGATGATGACAGCCCTCGAGTGCTCTCAAGGACTTGGAGCGGATAGAGTACCACTTGCGCTTTGCCAAAAGACCAAATGCGCTCTGCACGCTCCTAGCAGCTCAGCCAATGAATAGGCCAGTAGTTTGGATTTCTAGCCCTTCGAGTCACATCGCCCCACAGCCTGAGCACCTTACTCTCCGTGCTTGCCCTTGATTGATATTAAATGTTATATATATATATAGGCTGAGAGAGCTATGCTTTAGAAATCATGGCCACCAGTTGTAGGCCTCAGACACTGGGCTGTATCCTTCGATCTGTGAAACTTAAACTCTGCTCAGCGCGAAAGCTCAGGTTGGTAAGCTGCTCGAGGGTGAGGTCGACGAGCTGCCAGATCTCACCAATGCAGAGAAGATCATGACAGACTTCAAGCTGGACGAGGAGAGGGCGGCTCTAGGAGTGGAATGCCACAGATCTTTCCCGGGTGATCAAAACATCCTGTATGAGCCACGCTCCAGGATGCCTGCTCTAAGATGCGAGAGATCATCGAGAAGCGTCTTCGACTCAGTGCCACTATAGTTGAAAAGGGCACAGGCGAAGCTCGGATCAAGAGAAACAATCTTGTCGTGTAGCCACTAGCCTTGCTGCAGAGCACTTTCTCAATATCGGGATAGGCGAGTTGGAATTTGTAATGGTATGCGTGCACAACTCTCGTAAGCCGAGGCTCTGCGGACGAAGAGCGCGTGCTCACCTGCGTTCGGAAGCAGCTCAAATCAGCAAGCAATGCATCGTCAATGTCCCTGGGCAGACCAGGGACTTGATTGAGACCTTGGAATATTGCACGGCCAAGACGAGCGTGTTACACGGATCTAGCCGTCCCATGTCTTTTTGAGGGTTTCGGACTTTTTGAAGCTTCAAAGCACGGTTGCTTTGTCGACCTCTGTGAGAGTCCCGTCTTTTGAATCTAGCACTGGTAGTCAGTCGCTGCAATACATGCATTGCAAAGAGGCAGTCAGTCAGAGCAACAACCCTGTTGCCGATACCTGAGTCTAGGCACCGGAGGTCGGCGTTTATGCAATCCCTTGTGTGACTACCGGTTGCGGATTGGTGTTGGCTTTTTCTGGAAGGGATTTGCGTGTAACCCCTGACGAGTTCCCTGCGGTGCGACATAGTCAGCTGCGCGGGTGGGAAAAATTACCTTGTCTTAGCAAGGGCCTGTTTTAGTGGTCTTCTTTGGCCACCAAGTCACCATGACGGCACCGAAACCTAAACAGTTTCCAGACAAATGTGATTGTGTATGTCGTGCTTTAAGGCTAAAACTGGGAAGATCATGAATGAACCTCGCCGGTGCGCTGTCGAGGTTGTGCAAAATTGCCCGCACACTCATTGATGGCGGTGACTTACCGGATCCGCCAGAGCGACCGCCAAAGGGTAAAGGTGGGGGCAAAGACGGTGGCAAAGAAGACGGCGAACGTGGAGAGCGTAGCTCGACATGATATTGGAACGCTCAGATACTCTAGCCCTGGCAAGTTGCGCTTCGTGTCAGCCATCCCCATTCAGGCAGAGACCGCGACGGTGGGGACCGCCATCATGATCGTGACCGTGACTTGCCGGGACTGCAACAGTTCCATGACGAGTCACGTGTTACACGCCTACTTTCGCTTGTAGGACTGGGGACCCACATGTAGGTTTTCGCGCAAATTCCACCCTAGACAAACAGCCATTAATGGAGCTGGAGGTCGGCGTGACCGCAGCCGCAGCCGTGATCGTCGAGACCGGCGCGACAGCCGCGGCCGTTAGTGCCGTTAGTGATCGTCAGGGCTGCTGACAGCGAAAGATCGCGGCCGGGGTAAGGCAAAGCTCCATCGTGCCATGGAGACATGGTGCAGGTCCTGGTCTAAAGTGGCCCAGCCGACGCGTAGGCTACGCAAGCTGATGCAAGCAGAAAAGGCGTGCTGAGAGGCTCATGGTCATGGTTTCTCCTGCCTGAAGCAGCCCGAAACATCCTGCGCCCTTTGAGAACAACAAAATGCTGTGATGGCTTGCAGCTTGTTTTTCCCACAGCCTTGTGCCAGCTAATTCCCGTCACAGGAGTTCCTTTCCTGCAAGTGTGGCTTTACGTGACTTGGCCAGAGCTGCGCCGTGGCTTTGCCTGGACGGCCGTTAGCCTTAGTGACATCAAAGCACTGGGCAAGAGGCTGGGCTGAGGCCCACTGTTGGTGTTTTTGCATGTTTTTGCGACACGCACATCCAATCTCCAATCCCCAAGGTGTGGAACTCCGAGCCTTGGAGGATCTTGGAGGATTGATAATCAAGCCCTATTCGGCTGATTTGTTAAGGATGTCAGGGGCTGCGGCGTCGTGCACGTCATAGGACATGTATCAGGCCGCATTTTTGAATTCATATTATCAGACGGCCTCGTGCTTGGCATATGGTCTCAATGGGTGTGTATTATGCACAAATACAAATACACCCGTACATACGTATATACGTGTACCCTCATCTGTCAAACCCAATCATTTGCCTCACTCCCGCCTTCCCTCCCTCGTTTGTTGTCTCTTGCTCGCCCGCAGAAATGCACATGTGCGAGACCCATGACGATGGCACAGCACAGAGATTGGGAAAGAGACACCATGAACGAAGGCGACCGTTCTGTATCGGGCGTGCCACCCTGCAGGTCAAGCAAACCAGCAAGCAAGCGATACACCATGTTCAGCGGCTTTTTATATTGCACTCGGGTCTCCCAGCAAGGAAAGCCTTGGAGAAGCACCAGCTACGCGGCTGCTCTGCCTCGGAGGTGAAACAAGGCCCATCCCTGGGCCGAAGCGCTTCGTCACAACGAGAGGGGTCCGAAATTTGATCCTTTCTTCGGGATTTCGGCTTTCTGAGTTCAGCTTCGCTGAGCCGGACGGGACGGACCGGACTTCTCTTGACGACGTCTTGCGGCGCGAGACTGCGTTCGCGGCGATGTTCGCTGAGGTCAAACCACTTCCTTCACACCCAGTGCACGGCGATGGTCGCAACCGAGGGTTCGGAAGGCGGGCTGTGGGCAGATGCATTGGTCACGCAGAAATGCCTATGGAGCCGAGTTGAATCCTTTGCATGCCTGCCCACCAGTCTTGCACACCATTTTCCGCTTCCCGACTCCCCCTCAAAGGAGCTCTCGGACAGCTTGTACGACCGGCCCGAGACCGAACTTAGCAACTTGCTAAGTTCGGATTGCGGCCAGGCTATGCCTGTGTTTGCGAGGCTGGACCAATCAGTGGTTGACATCATCATGCCAATCTCGCAGATGTCGCACAGCTAGACCCACTTAAACTAAACCCTAGGCCCTAGGAGGTGCGTTGAAGGCTTGTAGGTTATTCCAGTGTGCAGACGCCGCATGTATTGCCTGCCACTGTGTCCAGCCTGCGTTCAACCCCTGTGCAGGCCAAAGCTGCAGCATTCACGGTCTGATGCTGTAAGTTCGCAAACGCTCAGTCGGAGAGAAGAAGGACGGCATGTGCAGGGATTGATAGGGATTGTCTCGTGTGTGTCTGTGTGTCTTGATGACACATACCCGCTTGTCATTGATTCCAGAATGCCTGCGTTTGCCTGCAGGTGGCAGATTTACGCTCTGCTTATCAAGCCTTTAAAACCCGTGTTTCCAGTCAGAACCGGCTGCTTCAATTTCGATGGTAGCAGAGTCAGACCTATGATAGTTGACAGGCTCGGTTACGTTACACTCCGTATGGCCGTCAGAGAAAGGATCGCTTGCTGTTGCTCACCCGCCTCGCGTCACACGACTATCAGCTGAGACCTCCACATGACTCAAACGAGCCGTGAACCTCGTCGGGCTAGTTTCTGAAGCATTGCTCAAACTGTGCTGGAATAGCAAGGGAAACACAGTGTGCCCAGACCCCGATGCGATTAAGCACAACGCTGACCCCGAGGGCGAGCAGACGGTGCACACTTTTAAAAGTGGGATTGTTGAGAAGAGCGCGGAAGAAAGCCATGGATACAAAACCTAAGAAGAGTGGAAATCTTCGGTCCAGGTCTGAAACATTTCGTAAATGCCATTGCTAGCGGCTGTTGCATCGAGCTTTTCAAGTTGATCCGGACTTGGACCGGCCAAATTCAGGAGGGGCCCAGTTACCTTTCACATTTCGTTCCGGTACAGTGGGCTGTTGTCGTGGACCAGTGCCCTTTTGTCTCATGGTCGCAAAACCGATGATCAACAACGGCGACCCCACTTCAATTTAAATGCTTCATCAAAAGTGATAGCCCTAGACGAGAAGTGACATGTTTGAAAGGATGCTCAGCTGATGCGGATGATTCGCACCTAACCTGCGGATGTGGCTTTACCTGCGGGACGCCTTCTGCTGCTGAGCCGAAACAGCACCGCTTACCGTTTTGGGATCTCTACCACCCTCTCGAGCATGTTCATGTGTGTAAACGCTGAGTATGACAGTGTTCGACACCCCATGAAGAGTTTGTTATTACAGTTGTCGCACTCTGTATTGGAAGGGCGTGGTTTGCAAGCATAGGCTGGCTAGTCCCAACTCGAAGTGTTTTGTCGAAGAGGCCATGGACCGCCATCAGAAGAGGCTGGTGTCTTTAAGGGTATTTGAAGCAGGGCGAACTGAACACATGCCCTCCGCAATTCCACCCGCAACGACTATTAGGCGCTAGGCCCGTCGGCTGGCCACATCAGGCCAGCCCTTGCTTCCTGGAGCCGGAGCGAGGTTGTAGGTCTTAGAGCAGAGTCCACATGCCTTGATCAGGGCATTTACCGCGAATTCATGTATTGAATGCTTTCCGAGCCTGGTCGACCACCTTTGCGACAGGTGCAGCTTGGATGTGCGATCCGCTCCTGCTAGTCCGGCTGCGGTGGACAAGACTGCCAGGATCCTACAAGTCAATTTTGTAGCAGAGTGTGGCGTTGAGGACGACGTGTTGTCGCTGATTTGGCGGAGCTGCAACCGAACAACAGGTCATAATATGCACAAAAACGCAGATGTGCGTAACCATGAGATGGAGCAAACAAGGCGTTCGATGTCCAGCTGAGAAAGAGGCGCGCTGACATGATTTTCAAGTTCGTCACGGTGAATCATCCTGTCAGCAAGCCTTTGTTGATCGAATTGCTGAGACAGGGTTTCGTTGCGTTAAGGTGCCATATGGTAACTGAGTCGTGCCGGCATCATGTGCACACAGCTTATCATGGGTCCATGTCGTTGTGTAGATGGCGCACCCAGCATTGTGCGGCTCCAGGTTTGGCAGTGAACGATCAGCTCCAGTTGTGGATGAGGCCGGCTGCCGAGACCCAATGCACTTACAGGTGTTAGGAGTTCTTTAACATCAATCGCTGTATTTTCCTGTCCTTGCACTTTTCTGACTCTGCTGTAGCAATGCACCCTGCCAAAGTCAAGTCTTCCTTGATGGTTGTGTGCTGTGGCTGTCGTGTCACCCTTCCTTTTAAACCCCGAGGGGTCGTTGTGAACAGCCCTTCAAACGCCCAAAGGCTGCCTGCTCCCGCAATGTGGACCTTCTGTCTCCTCCAGTGGAGGCCGAAGGCAAGACCAGGAGCTCTTTGAGGCGGACGCGCTAAGTGCAGGGCGAATTGCCCGGCATTCGAAAAATGCTGTGACCTGTGTAAGTATAATTTTGTAAGCATGGTTGCAAGACCACAAGATACTCACCTTGGCATTCTTAAGTAGCATTAATTCGTCATTAGTCCTATCTTCCATCTCCGCCACAGTCATCATCGAGTATGGTTTTGCTCCTCGTGTATTTCGCAATTCGCACTGTTGCAATCATGTTTGTGCCCTTTACGGGAATCCGTTATTCGTTTTTTTCGGGACCCTCATCATTGCATTATCCTGTTCTGCACGATCCCTCTCATCCCCATGTCCAGTCTAGGCTTGTTTTCAAATATATCCTATTATATCCTCCTATATACTCAGCAACAGCATGTTCCTCGTCGTTGATCTTGCTTGAATCCACGTCATGCGCTGCAACAAACTGCGGTGTGTACCTTTCGCAAGGTTTCTCCTCGTGCGCCACGGGGAGAGTGCCAACCGGACGCTCAGCTACACAAATCCTGTCAGAACCTGGCAAACGGACCATGACGGAATGGGGCTGATTTTCTCGATCGAGGGGCAGCACAAGCAAATGCCCCGATCCTGCGCTGTCTACTAAAGGCAGGTACTTGCACATGCAGCAGTCCTTGTTTTGGTTCACACCTGCCTGGCTGATTTTCCTTCGACACGGTCTGACCTGAAGACGGTAGAAACGGCTGAATCTGATGCAGGAAGTTCTTTGTATAAGTTGTTAAGCAAAGCTATGATGCCAAGAGCATGTGTGTGTGTGTGTGTATGTATATGTGTGTATATTTATTTATACACACACACGCACATATATATATATATATGCATGCATGCGATTCTGGAGCAGGCCAGCGGCAAGCGGAGGCATTGGCTGACCGTTTGACTGGCGAGATGCAGAAGGACAGGAAGTCTGCTGCAGTGTGTTGCATGTAGAGTCGGAACTGGAATAGCCCAAACCCGGGAGGTGGCGGCTGCTGGTGACTTGCAAATCTGGTGTAGTCCCATGCTGCGATGCTTGCAGACCATCAAGCCGGCAGCTCATCTACATTTAAAGGCTAAACATATGAGGAGAAGTTTGATTGCAAATTATATAACGTTTGTAGCTACACATTTGAAGGCAAGGTGCTCTCACTTCCTGCAGCAGTTCCCGGTGCACACCGGCGCAAGCTTAAACTGGCTTTTTGGACCTTCGTGTCAATTCCACGTCTGTACCAGCAACGCTGCTACACTATGCTACTCTTGCATGGAAATGCCTTGCCACCAAGACGATGGACGTGTTGGACTTGCCGAAAAGCAAATGCATCTGCCATGGCTTCGCAGCGGCATTCGGACATTCGTTCCTGTAGTTTGGATGGATTCCCAGTGAATGCAACATGAACCATAGAGAACAGCGGTTTGATATGGGTAGGCTGAGTTCGCTCAAGAACAGCAACATGACCTTATAGGCAGCTTGACTCAGTGCAGGGCTTGGCAGCCAAAGCGGAGACGCTGCAAAACAGAGCCACGGTTCCTTGTGCAGAGGTGCTTGCTACGAGCACGGCTGTGCAGGACTCTCTTTTGAGGGAGCCTTGGCCTTCCGACATAGGATTTGTGGGGTTGAGTTTTGAACGATGAACATGATGTGGCATGATGCGGCATGTCTTCTGGGCGCTGCGCAGTGGTCTGGAGCCTTCAGAATCGAATACTTCGAATGTGCAGCTGGCAACTACTTTGAAGTCATAGGACGCTTGCATGTTATGTTCGAGTGGTGGCATTTTTGACATGCATGTCATTTAGCACTCCGGAAGATAGGATTGGCTTCAAGCTCGTTTTTCTTCTGTGATGCCTTTCAGCGCCAAGCAGAACTGGCGTATAGGTTTGGTGACCAAACAGTGGATTTGAAGTTCACATGTGTCTGTGAGGCACGCCAGCAGCGATCATTGCAGCTCGGCCAAGTGTTCAGAAAACGCATGTCACCAAGTACATCATGATGGCGTTGCTGCCATTTTAAAGCCGGAGTTGGATGATCAAGTTCAAGCTTCTGTACAAAGTGCGTCAGGGTGAACCGTCCGCAACTGCATCCGAATGATGAATCCTTCTGCACCTTGTTATTGGTTGGATGCTATCGTGTAGAATCGCGTCGCGTCCAAGGAAGAGCGGTTTCCGAATTTCCGGTTTACAGGCTCCACGCTCAGTCATGCTGTGCAGCCAGAAGGCTTATGCTGTTGTTGAGTGGGAGCACAGGGCAAGATTGGAATTTTCTTAGTTTTCGCAAGCTGTCATGCTACTATACTTGTTGACTTGTTCGACAGAAGCTTTGCTGTGACATTTGGCTCGAGCACCTCATGGCTTGCCAAATCTTTTTACGCGCTTTGGCTTGCTGCTTGGAGTCTTAACTGCCGGGGACTTATTTCCGATAGTTTGTTGCACGGGCGCGTGGATGGTTCGGAGGCGAGTACTTTCAGGCATATCCTTGCGTGTTGCACCAAGTGTTGCGGACTCCTGCAGTCTTACCTTCAGTGCCCGGACTTGGCACTACATGGAACTACTAGAAGGAGCGAGGGCCTAGGGGACCGTGATTGACTGTGACATTCAGGACCGGCCATGTCCCGGTGGACTGCTAAACTATGGCTGCTCTGGTGGACAGCATTGGCGCTGAGGACAGATTCGGAATCAAACGAGGAAGACAGAAGCTTTCCAGCAACAGAGCTGTAATTCTCTCGGGAACGGCTTGCGCTTGTGACCTGCTTGTGTCTCGGAAGTGACGAGCCCGACTGGTCCCAAGCACTGCATCCTCAGTTGGTGCCGTGCTGCCCAGGATACAGAAATTTTAAGGGCTTGGCGATTTGGGTCTACACTTTGAATCTTGGAAAACTCAGTCCCTTGGCGATCCGACCGACGTAGTTCTTCGCATCCGAACGAACCAGGGTGCCGTTAACTGTTCTGCTCACTACTTGACAATCTATCTACCTAGCAGCGCCAACCTTGAGTTTAGTCAGCATCGGATGATTGACTTGAAAGTTTGTTTTTCAGGAGAAGTTTAAGTTTGAATTGTTCACAGAAAAACATGTGGTTTTGGGGTGGGCCCTGGGGGGGGGGGGGGGTGTTGGGNNGGGGGGGGGGGGGTGTGTTGGGCGGGGGAGGGGGAGGGGGGTGGGTTGAATCGGATGTTTCGTTTGACTATCGGACTATCGCATACATTCACGATTAACACTTACATCACCGAAGCACGACAACAAGCACAAATTCACACCGCACAGACAGACAGACAGCCGCGGACTCTCTGCACATTCGTACCTATTTAGCTGGACATAACATTACAGTGTTGCAGAGCTCTCGAATCGGCAATCCGACGAGGACTCAATGATTGTAGTCATTGTTGTGCACGCAGTTACATGAGTTCAGGCTTGAGCCACAGTCTTTGCAGTCGCATTGGAAGGGACAGAACTTTTCGCACTGACACTGTGCTCGAAGAAGCTGGTGTTTTTCTGCAGTCATAAACAAGGGCAAGCAGTCGCGGCATGCCACCACAATGACTTCAATTGTTGAAACAAGCGTGGCCAGAATGCCAGCAGCAGTCACTCCCAGTGCAATCATGAAGATACAAATGCCAGTTGAACTGCTTCAGACGGATATGGGAGCAAAGTCATTGGCTTTTCACGTCTGGTGGGTTGTTACTAGCCTTTCTCATTTCTCCAAATTGCTCCTGGGTGTTGTCATGCTACTGAGCCTTGCCTGCCCTGCGCGAGTGAAGCTCTGTTGTGCATCCCTTGCGGCATTGCGACGCAGCCATGGCACACATGTCCAAAATGAAATGAAGCCGCACCCAACAGCAACTAATGCCAAAGCTGCGTGCGAGCTTGTGAAGAAAATTCTTGCGAAGCCTGTTTCTGAACCTCTGAAAAGTCAAAGAGCCCCAAGCCATGCCAGGCCACTGCCACTGCTTGACACGAAACAATAACAAGAGCAGTCACACCGAGACTCTAAAGTGAGGCAGCTGTCTCCTGCTACATGTTACGTGCTTTCAGCCCTCCAGCTGTTAGTTCAAGAGGCCCGCAACTGGAATGCAAGGACACAAGTGCCTATTCACTTTTCTTGGTTACGACTTACATATATGCCAGGCGCAAGAGCTTTCAGAATGACAAGCCTGGTTTTGGATCCCTGTCAAAGCTCAGGCAAGCCGGAGAACCGAGCGGGCATTGAAGACATGGTCGACACCGTGCTGGCGAAAGCTCGAGACCAGCGCGTCCAGCTGGTGTCTGTCAACTTCCAGGTTCTACGACTGTTAATCCTGGATCGGCAGTCTAGTTTCGACCATGTCTGAGCAAAGAGAGTCCACAGAGATCAGGCAAGGATTCCTGATTTGCAGGAAGCTCCGAGTGAAAAGACCTTCTTCCTCAGGCCGGTCACAGGGTGGAATCGTGGCCGCACAGCTTCGTGGTGAGCTCCCACTAACACTTCGTTGCAACATTGGCGCACGCGCAGAGCACTCGAAAGCAGCACCTGTTTTCGACCTATCGCTCATGGAGAGCACCGGCACTTTGAATTTGACTGTGCCGGTAGACTAAAGAGACCCAGGAGGGTCATCAGAACGCGCCATCTTTGCAATGAGCAGCATCTCGGACTTCAAAATCTGCGGAGAGCCCTCTAGCAAGGGAGGTGCTCCGGGTTGCTGAATCGTCAGCTGCATGCAGGTCAGGTGCAGCTGAGGCTCCATGCCATCCATATGAAATGCGACTTCGCCCTCTTCTCCTACCTGTACATCGCTGACTACAGAACAGAGCGACAGGTTTCTCGGTCAATCTGGATTTGCACATGCGCCGTGACAGTGTGACAACTATACATAGGAGTAACGGACAGAGTCACTGCCCAAGTCCTGATTCCGATGTTGCGAAGGAGTCGAAACTACGTGCCAGGTTAGCTTAGTCTGATATGGGGGAATGCGGGTCAGAAGGAAACCACATGGTGCGGATGAAAGGCTGCCAGCGGTCAAAACAGCTTGTGGGAGACTCGTGGGTGACACTCAGCACGTCATAGCATGTACCGGAATCAAATTACATGAGGTGCCGCACATACTCGACATTGTTTTGCTGACTCCATATCTGATATTTGCTTACCCCGATCCCGTTCTCTATGCCGTTGCCAAGATGCCCGTGGATGGCGACATTCGGGGAGTGAGGAGATGCGGTGACAGCATCCGGTAGCATTTGCAATGCTTGCTTTTCAAGCCTTGGAGTCCGAGCTCTGCTGTATCAGGACTGTGGTTTTCACGTCCGGCTCCTATGCGGCCGCATCATCTTCTGAGCTAGTTATAGTGTGCATGAGCTTCCATGATTTGATGTCAAGGAAGAAACAACTCCGGAAGCTGGAGTCCACAGACATTGTCGACGACAAGTGCCTCGTCTGTGTCCGCAAGCTTCGCTGCGCCCTTACTGACCGTGAGACTTGCCGGCCAGGTACGCCGAGGGATGCGGGGCTGGGAAGCAGTCGAAGGAACTACCTGCGACCTACTGGGGAGGTGGCATCTGCCAGGGTTGAAAGTCGAAGTTAGAGTCAGAGTGTGCAACGAATCGAAGCTTTTGCGGATGAGCATATGCGAGCGGCAAGCCCGGCGTTCAGTTGCAAGTGCGACTTCCAGGCGTCCTGCACGATGATGCGCCGTATCCGGCGAATGCCTTACATTATGCGGGCATTATTCTGGAGAGCTTTGCGCATGTGAACCGGATCGGCTGCAGACTAATTGTCGCACACGACAACTGCAAGCGACGAAGCAACATCACGCTGCCTAGGACATCGAAGTGATCAAGGCGGCACGGAGATGCCACGGGGCCAGGGCCTGAGAAGAGCCAGCACAACTGCATCGCACTTCACCATGCAAGCTGCAGTCCAGGCAAGAGACCCTTAGGCCAAACTAAAAGACAGCCGTGTCTGTGCGAGATTTAGAGCCCAAAGACATGCAACATCATTGTCGGTGCTGAATACAGCCACTCAAAGCACCGCCCGGATCTTCACTGGCACACGCTCCAAACACTTCCTGAAGTCTGTCCAGCTTCTACCAAGAGTCCGGCTCGGTGTAAGGGTAATACTATCAGAATCTGTGGAAAGTGATCTCGGGAAATGCCTTTCTACCTTGCAGACCAAGCCCTGGGTGAGCTCTCCTCTGCAGCACCCCCCCCCCCCTGGCATTCCAAAGCCGGTTGGGATATTCAAGCTTTAGATGAGGGCCAAGCATCCAAGTGACGTGGATTGATTCCCTGAGGTGGCCGTGAAGCATGCGACTTGGTCAGGTACAAGCTCGAAGCCAACATGGGTCCTGCTGCAAAGCGTTTCCGTTGGAGCAATTAAGGAGGAACACGTGGGTGTTGCT